AAGCATTGGAGTAATACCCCAAATCCAATCAAGGTATCCTGGCTATAATTTTAGAGAAGCAAGACTTCAACACATATGATTAAAATTAAGAAAGCATAAACCTCATCAACCATAATGAGCTCTTTCAGAAGATAGTATTATTGGGGTGGGGATTACATGTCTATAATAATCACTGGGACATGGGAGAGGAAAGCAAGTGTTGGTCATGTGTCTCCGGGACAGAGTAGAACAGAGGGTCTTAACCAGCCAGCATCAATCTTCTTGGGAATATTTGTTCCTATGGATAATGCATGTATATCAGGTAAAAGCCATTAAGGTTTCCCAGGCAGACCCTGGCAGACCCCCGTGCCACCTGCCCAGGATATTTGGTTCTCATAGTTTCCCTGCAGCCAGCCTCACCTGATGCCATTCCAGTCTCATAAGACCCACGAGGGCTTTAGGAGTCTAGTTTAACCACTTCTCACTACAGGAATGCCCCCTGACTTCTTATCATTTCCCACCCCAGACCCACCACCCATCATTCTTCTAAGTAAACTTGTTCTATCCCTGAGTAAATCTTCTCTCCCAGCTGCAGTGCCAAGATTTTATTAGGAGAGAACTTTTCAGGCCTCTTTTAAGGTTCCTGAAACCCAGACCCACGTGCATCAGGTGGTTCTCATAACTTTACTTAGGGGGGAGGGAAGGAGAAAGGAAACCAATACGACTGTTATTTTAATTTCTTTATTTATCAAGAATAAAAAAAAAGAATCAGGAGTTACAAAAACAAGTTAAATGCAATATGGAAGCCTACTAAATACAAATACATTTCACAAACACATAGGCAACAGAAACCTGTTTAAATTGCTTCTTGAAATTTGACTATTTAAAAACATAAGTGTAAAGGAAAGACATTCAGACTGGTTCACATGGACTTACTGGCAGGTGGAGGAGCCCTGCTTTCCAAAAACAGTGATGGAGTTGAGTCATGGCATGGGAGGTCTCCATGGACACCAGTGGGGAGTACATGTCTATAATAACAGATGCTGTAATTAATATGTTTATAAAATACTATACACACAGAGAAAGCCCAAGGAAGCTTGCAGACTAAGCCTTGTGCTTTTAGAGAGCTGGAGGGACGGAACCCAATTTAATCCTGTTTATTTGCTCCATGTAAGACTCCCCAGACTAGGCTACTTAGCAGCTTTCCATGAATGGTCATCAGATCACATGATTCTGTGGTGCAGGTAATAGCTTCCCTATTTGCAGGAGGAACGCAGATTTGCTCTTAGGAATTCAGTGTTGTAGGGTAGGTTAAGTCTTGGATGGCAACCATTGTCCTAAATGTAACAGGTGAGAAGACTCTCTGATTTCTTGCTTTAAACAAACTGGTATTCCTGCTCTCATTCCCATAGTGTCCGAGTGTTGGCAAACTTGATCAAGCCGTCCTGCCGGGGTTCTCCAAGGCACTCGGGCAGGGAGGTGCCTTTCAGACAGCACAAGTAGGGTTGCAGGGGAGCGTTTCAGTGGGATGTCGATAAATGCTCAAAATTCTAAACAAAGTGGAATGTTCTCCTTTCAAAGGAGAATAAGGACATTGTTTAGAAGAAATTCCATTTTCAGTACAACTTTCTCAGAGTTGCCTGTGCAGTACAATCTACATAATTTCCTTCTAATGGTCTGAAAATGAGATCTTATGTCAAGTTTTAAATCTCTGTTATTCCAAATGCTTGTTAAGTATGGTATTGAGTGGGGTTAATAAGGACACAGGCCAAAAGACATAGGAAAGACTAACTGCTCACCAATAACAATGTTAACATTAAATTTCCACTTTTCCTCTCTTGAAATGGGAAACTTCCTTTTGTCCTCATCTCTAAATGGAAAGCCATTTCTGTTTTCAAGAAGGTTTAAAAGGAAATGCAAAAGTGAAGACCAAGTGGACTGGTTCTCTTCCCACTCTTTCCCAGGGCAGGGTTTATCCCAGAGGGCTCTGCGTCCCACACCGCACAACCCGTGGGGCCGTTCACTGAGGTCAAACTTGGTCAGCTTGTTGTTGGCTATCCGAATCTTCTTCTTATAACAAGTTTGCATTTGTCCTAAGAAGGAAAATCACAGGAACCTGTCTCCTCTGGACCAATGATCAGAACCACAGACTTTACAACTTATGAAATCGAAAGGCTAATGCATTCCTACCTGCTCACTGAGGAAACCGAGGCCCAGAAATAGAAAGAGCCAGGGCCAAAGTCACTCTCCTAGTTAGCGGTGGATCAACGAGCACTTTGATAGGCTGGGATATCTAAGCCTTGCTTTGGCTGCACTTGTCTCCATCCTTTGAAATACTGACTAGCATGAACTTAGAATAATTGAAAACAAATTAGCTTTTGGATCTTGAAAGCGTGTATGGGGACGCTTCTCTTCCCCTGGCTTCTGGCTGAGGCGTCCACTGCTCCTGGGACAGATTGCTGACCCACTGGGAGCCAGGGGGCAGTCTCTGGGCTGCAGCTAGTATGCGGCAGGGTGGGAGGTCTGGGTTAGAGCGGTCCCTGCACCAGGAAGAACCCAAACTCCCCCACCTCTGAAATGGTAGGACTACTGAAAAATAATTACAAAAGCTTAATTTCTAGTCAAGAAAATAAAATATAAAAGAACAACAATAACATAATGATAATAATTGAAAAATAAAGTCAACTTGCCAAAAAAGTTTTACAGAAAAATAGCACCTTTGGTAAAAAGTATTTTTAAAATTTGGTTGGGTCTCTAAGGGGCTGGAAGTCCACAAGTATCTGCATCATTTGGGTGCACCCTCCCAGAAACTCCATCAAGTATGAGGGACACTGGGTAACTAGCCAATGGCTGTGTATCTAGAGGCAGTGGTTGGGGCCATGAGAAACAAAGACGCTGGAGTCTTATGCCGACTGGAAAGGGCTGGAAGCAGAATGCGTTCTTCTCCACTGAGCTTCCCAAATCCCTCCTCTAGGGATAGTCTGCTAAGTTCTCTCTGGCACTGCTTGCCTCCCTGCAGCGTGTTTAGAGCTGCGGTAGACTCGGAAGTGGTTCAGATCTGGGTCCGCTCCTCTCCCAACCCTGATGCAGTTTCCTTACTTGCCTCCAGCCCCCGAGCCCCATTTATACAGTTTCTCTTAAATCACTCCTAGAAATGAAGGCTATGGCCCTTCCCCTCCTAGCCAGCCACCCCCGTTTCCTTTATTGCAAAACAAATAGACGAAATAAAACTTGTTGCTATACAAGCAAATACTGGTGATTTGGCGATTGTAGCAGACACTTGTGTATACTGAAGTGGAGGAGAAGGTGCCGGGCTCTGGACACCTTCCCAGGTGCCTCCTCACTAGATCTCTTTGGTGCTCACTCTCTTGGTCTTTTCAGCTGTTTCCTTTGAGAAGCAAGAGAAAAAATAAATGTTATGTAAAAAAAAATCAGTGGCATTTATCTAGTCCTCGATACTTTATCTAGCATTGACAGATTCATGCTTATGCTGAATTTTAGTTCTGGTTACTTGTCTGTCTCCTGCATGGATGGCAAACAACTTGAGGGCAAGGAACATGTTTTATTCACAATATGGTCACGTAGGGGCTGTCACGTAATTAAGAGCTGACCCTATTTGAATTCCTATGAAACAATCAGACCGCACATTATGATGCCTGCCTTAAAGATGAAGAGAAGGCTACAAAATGGAAGTGCTACAAGACGTCCTGAGTCCAAGTCCTGAGAGGCATGAAGAGCGACAGGCCCTGGAGGCACAATACCTGGGCTTCAATCGTGCTGTGCTACTTTCTGGGAGGTTTGGGGCATATTATGAAGCTTTCCATGCCTCAATGTCTTCAACTACAAAACGAGGATAATAAAGTACCATCTCTTACAGCAAGGAAACATTTCTTCAAAAGGAGACATTTTTCTTACAGCCAATAAGCTCAGGAGGAGACATTCAACATCAATCATTAGGGAAATATAAAAAAAAAAAACTAAAGTGAAATGCCACTACACAGGGATGGCTAAAATAAAAAATAATGGACAATGACAAATGTTGGCAAATTTGTGGAGAAATTGAAACAGCCTGGCACTTCCTCAAAAGATTAACAGAGTTGCCATATGATCCAGCAATTCCATTTCTAACTATTACCTAAGAGAACTAAAAACACAAAACTTTTACAAGAATGTTCATAACAGCATTATTCATCATAGCCAAAAAGCGAAAACCTAAATATACACCAGCCTATAAATGGATACACAATATGTGGTATATTCATATCATGGAATGTTATCTATATATATAAAAGCCTAAGCGAATGGCTGACATGCTGACAGCTATGATGCACAATGACCACCAGGGGGCAGACGCTCAACGCAGGAGCTGCTGAGTGACAGCAACTTTGCAGAGTGCCCTCTTGCACTCCGAGACCTTGGGGGATGTCAGACTGCTGGTTTCAGCCCAAATCCTGCAGGCCATGCCGAGGGACGCCACTTACCAGAGGGACCTTGCTCACTCTGCAGGCACCCTTTGAGCCCTGGTGCCGCCCCAGGTGCGGCAGCCCAGGGAGGAGCTGTGGGAGGTTGGCTCCAGGGCGCATCCGGCCTGTCTAGCCCAGTCCCGCCCCTCTAGCCACCTTCTAATTAATTTCCTTTCAATCTGTGCACCGGGGCTCTTAGACATAAAAAAGAATAAAGCATATATTTCAACAGTAATTGAAAAATCTTTAATAAAAAAAAAGAAATGAAGCACTGATTCATGCTATAACAAGGATAAACCTTGAAAACATTATGCTAAATGAAAAAAGACAAACAGAAAACACTATGTAATGTATAATTCGATTTACATATGTCCAGAACAGGAAAATCTATAGAGTTAGAAAATAGGTTAATGATTGTAGAGTGACTTCTAATGGGTATGAGGTTTCTTTTGGGGATGATGAAAATGTTCTGGATACATAGTGATGGTGGCTGACAATCTTGTGAATATACTAAAAACTATTGGATTGTACACTTTAAAGGTGCGAATTTTGTATGTGAATTATATCTCAACAAAAAATTTAATAGGAAATAAGAACAACAGTGACTGATATCTAACAGACACACTGCTGGTGCCCTGTCCATATTCCTGGTCTTTAGCATCTCAGTTCACTGACATGGCTTCTTACTGCCAGTACTTGCACCTCTTTCTCTGGTTGGCAGGCCAGAAATGCCAGGGATTTTACGTTTGCTGGAGGGAACCTTGCCCATAGCTGACAGGAGTTCCAGTAGGAATGCCCTCAGGCATGGAAACTCTGCTCCCAGAGTTCCTCACGAGGATTAAGCTCCACTTGCCTACAGTGATAACTGCTGGATATGCACTCTGTTGCTTCCTTCCCATCCTGAGCTCACTTCCCAATTTCCCTTCTGGTGTTGCCTGGGATTGCCTCCCAAATAAACTATTTGTACCTGAGTCCTTGCCTTAGCATCTGCTCCTGAGGGAACTCACATAGACAGAGACACTTAAAGATGAGAGCTATTCTAATTCACTCCCCACTCTCTACTCTGATCATCTCTCCATCCTAAATGCAAGGAATTCCTATGGACTTCGTTTTTTCTTTTGTGGAGTTGTACTCATCTGGAAACTCAAGACTGCTGAAATATGGAAAAACAGAAGATGGGAGATTCTGCATTGGCTCAAAAAACTGACATGAGGTTTCTACACTATTAGTGATAATGACAAAATGCATATAAAATCAATAAATATGAACAATTAATATTAACAATTCTTTATTTTCAAGTGAAATATTTCACTCACTAGTTTAGCAGCTCTTATGACCTTTATATTCCTTAAAAACTTCTCTGAGAGAGAGAAGGCTTGAATGACCAGACCCAGTCTACAGACAGGTGGTCTAAGGTGCAATATCCTTTGTTAAGACTTTGGTAAACGAATGGAAGACAGGCCCGGGAGTCCAGCATACCCATGTTTTCTCCCTAGGCCCTTAGCAAAATATGTCAGTGGATCACAATTCTGCTAAGAACCCTTTATCCAAGAAGGCCTTCAACTTGACATAGAACCTGAACAGAATTCTTATATCTCAAGTCTCCAGGAAGCAGAACCTCGAAGTTTCCTGTGTTTGTCATCCCAGGCTGTTTTCTAGCCAGCTTAATATTTAACTTAAATCCTTTCTGTTGCAGTCCAAATTCACTAATTTCATGCTCACTGAGAGCCAACTATATACCAAGCCCTGTGTTAATACAGGGCTGCAATGATGAGCAAACTATACTAGTAGAGCCTGGCCTTCAAGAATCCATGGTCTTTGGGTCTGGGCACTGGTTGTGACAGAAAACAGTTAACTTATTTAGCCCATGTTCATTTGCAAACCACTTGCAATCCATTTGCAAAACACCAACTGGCTGATTCTTATTTATTAAGCAATTTGCCAAGTTGTAATCTGCTAGGACCTGTGGCACCCTGCAAGGACCCCACCAGGGAACTGTATCACAGTTTGATACTATAGGCGTATCATTCAGGACCTACTGTATTAAACAGAGCATCTTCTTGGTCTCCCCGGACATTAGGCAATATCTGAGTGGTGGAAGGGCCTGGTGGCGGCAGAGATACCCGAATCAGCACAGAGGCTGCAACTCACCTGGTGCTTTTGGAGCTCTTGGACATATCTGGTCATCTCCTCCTCTGTCTGGGTCTGGGCCCTCTTCTGATTCTTTTCTGCAAGAAGAACCAAGGCTCAGAGGTGGCTGAGGGAAGCCAGTTGGGGTCTCACTGGTATCTACTTTCTAGGTCCTTAATTTCATCTCCCATTTAATCAGTACAAGAGGTGAATTATCCACATTCCTCTGACACCTCCAAATGAACACACTGCAAATAAAGCAACCTACTGCCACCCTTCCCTAGCCTCTGTCCCTAGTGACTTTAACTACTCCAGCCCATCCTTTCCAGGAGCTGACCCTGCAGAAAGAACTACGGAGAAAATCTGGACCCTGACAGGCATTCTTCTGGGGCAGTGATTCCCTACCTTTCACAGGTCCTGGAGAACATTTCAAATACAAATGCTTAGACTGCACCTCCAAAGACTCTGATTTAATTGTTATAAGGCAGGGCCTGGGCACAGGGTTCTGTAAAGCTCTCGAGATGGTTCTGATGTGCAGCCAGGGTTGATCACCACCACAACTACAGTGTCTACCAAACTTGCACAGTGGAAAAAAAAAATCACAGAATATGTCTTAAGAACACAGGTTTCCAAGCTGCTCTCTTGTGGCTTCTGATTCAGTAGGTTTGGAATGGAGCCCAGGAATCTGTACCTTTATCGAGAATAGCACTGTTGTTAGGAAATACCGCTCCACCACCACTTCCAGACTTCAGCATCAAGCTGCCCCCATGGCAACTTCCCTTGGCTCTGGCTCCAGCTGGCTTCGAGTCTCAGTGCCCTTCTTTTCTACGCCATTGGGATTTAGGATCTAACTTTCAGGTATTGACCTGAAAATGCCTTGGATGCCATCTCTACAATGTCCTCTCAGGTCCATGGCCTGCACACCAAGATGTGCTAAGGCCCCCAGGGCACGACCATGGAGAGTGCTCTTTATACATAACCACGTAGGGCTCTGAACATGGGCCATCAGAGAGGATAAACAGCCCTGTTTCGTGGAAATGGGCATGGTCCCAGGAGGGCAATTATTTGGATTCTGTCTACTGCATGTGATGGGGCTCATTATCCAGATGATCGTAAACCAGCTGTTCACCGATTGCCTGCATCTTAGAAAGGGATGGCTACCTTTACTAAGCCACACCAGGAGCAGTTGGGTGTGAAAAACTATTTTGGGTAGATGAGTAGAGTACAGGAGGCTTCCTGGTTGAGGCAGGCTGGGTATTGTTTTGAAATGTTCTCTCTTGGCTTCACTAGCTACTGTATGCTTGGCCTAGCTACGATGGCTTTAATTTGGCCTCCAGCAACTTCTAGGCATTTCTACCTCTAAACAACCTCTTCCTGCTTTTTCACTTGTCTCTGGAGTTACGTAGGCGTTCTGCCCTCCCACACCGAGAAGAGACTTGTTCCTGGGGAGTGGGAGACGAGGGACCCTCCAAGCTCCATTTGTATTATTGGTGACTGGGCTTTTAATCTAGAAGAAGCTCTTCTGGGGTCCTTGACCTCTGTCTCCAATTACCAGATAACCTGACCTTGAACATGGTCCTAGGACCAGCCTGCTTTTTCTCGTCTCAGTTGGCTTTATTTTTTTTTAATATGATTTTATTGATTTCAGAGAGGAAGGGAAAGGGAAAGAGTGATAGAAACATCAATGCTGAGGGAGAATCATTGATGGGCTGCCTCCTGCACACCCCCCATTAGGGATTGAGCCCACATCCTGGACATGTGTCCTGACCTGGAATAGAACCATGACCTCTTGATTCATGGATCAACGATCAATCACTGAGCCAAACTGGCCGGGCTCAGTTGGCTGTTTAAGATATAATTTTAGGTTCACCCCATCTAGTGTAAATTTGGGGCTTGATTCCTTCCAACTGACCTTTCTTCCCAGAGCATGTGACCTGGCTTTACCCTTGTCTATCTTGCCTCCACTCTGAATGGTGCCTAGTTTTTCCCAGGGCTTGGCTTTAATCTTGGCCATCATTGTCGTCCAAGACCCTAATGGTTCTGCACTGGCCTCCCAAACTCTGTCTGACATCTCTATATCCCAAAGTCACCCTGCCCATGTCTCAAGTACCTCAACTTTTTTTTTTAAAGGAATATCTAATTCTGTTAGTTTACAGAGGTCTACATTCTTCCTTTTTCTGCTGAGAATGGGTGGTGAGGAGGAATTGTTTTATCTTCCAAACACCTGAGTCTTTTACATATAGGATTTTCTAAGCTATCATAAGGATTAAGTGGGTTAATATGTAAAGTGCTTAGAAGCTGCCTGGCACATTGTTCTCACTAAAGTGTTCGCTTTCATTATTATTATCACCATTCCAATCTCATATCAACATTTGTTCTTGCCCTGGGTCTTGAACCTCTTTTGTTCCAAGCCTCTGGAGTGATTTTCAAACTTCTGCGTCTGGGATAAGTGCTTTGTCCTCAATGCTGCCTTCTTGGAGCTCTAATATGACAAGTTTGAATCTGTCACTTGCTGCCCAGGTTCCTTGCTCCCAGCTACCACCATCCTCTTTTCCTTCATCCCCACCCTGACTTCTCTCATGGTGATTTCATGAAGGGAGCTCTGCCTCTGTTGTTCCTTCTGCCTGAGGCACAGCTCACCGTCACAGGTCATGGCTGTGCAGACCCAGTTTCCACAGGCACAGACGCAGCGGTTACAGTCCACCTCGGTCTCAGCTCCATCGGCGTACATTTCATCCTCCAGGGCACACTCTGTTGGGACCAAAAATAAAGGGCAATCGTTTAGGGTGAAGGTGGAACAAAGAGTCCTGACTACAGTCTGTGGACCTTACCCTTTCCCCAGACAAGAACTGCCTGTCCCTCAGAGGCACTATATCTGAGCAAATGCTACCATCAGCCAAAGGTATTGGACCTGAACATCACTATGGAGATGATGGGCTGGAGCCCATTTAGAATTATGGAAGGAATTTTCTTAGCAAGCTCTGGAGAGGGCCATCAATTTTAGTCCTTCAAAATGCTCCCACTCCCCCTCACTCCCTGTTTCTTAGGTGAAGCATACTCTTCTCTGGAGGGTTGAAGGACGGATTGAGGCACTTGAGGAACTCTTGGAAGCTGAGTTTCCAGTCAGCATTTTCATCAGACAGCTCAATGAGAGCATCGACACAGAGTCCTCTGAAACAAAACACAGGAGAAATGTGTCAGCCAGACCTCAGCTTCACTCCTGAAGGAAGAAAGTAAGTGTCAGGACCACGCACACCAGGGGCCCCAGAGGAGGCCAAGAAGGTGACTGTTAATTGATAAAGTTTCTCTCTACACTGACCTCCCACAACCATTAACCCTCCTGACTCCTGTAAGCACCCAACCTTCAGTCTGATATACCGAATGTCAGATCATTCAAATGTTCCTCCCCAGACAACTAAGACTTCCTGCATGGTTTTGTCCAATTTGGATTGACAAATGTTTCACTACCTGCACACCTTCCACCAGTAATTGCCTTTCCCTATGGTGTAAATGTCAAGCCGACCAAACAAGAAAAATCAAAACAGAAGCGAGAGGAATAGACAATATGAAAGCAATGTGTGATCTGAAAGAACGTGGAGTTCAAGCAAGCATCACCATTCTAGAACAAGACCTTCCAGAAGTTTCACAGAATCTCAGCTCTCTCCCTCTCCCCGTGGCCTGGATTTGAGCCCTGGCTCAATCACTTACTGCCCAAATGGCCTTGAGCTAGTTATTCAACCTTTCTGTGCCTGCTTTCTCATCTGTAAAATGGAGACAGGACTCCTCCTTCACTGAGATGGTATGAGGATCAAACGTTGAACTTGTAAAATATTGCCTAATTTTAGTTTATCAAAATATGAAGGCTTTTCAGATATTATAGTTAGGCCATGGACTATTATTAAGAAGGAATCTTTCTAGAGTCTCGGCTTTCATGCTTGTACTTCTTTTGAACAAAGTGGTGCTTAAACTATTTTAATTCTTACCAATGTACTGGAACCACACCAGAGGTTTCTTAGGGATTCATTTTTATTACTATTTAGTTTGGAATGATACCAGAAAAGGAGAGGGACGTACTCACATTTGTAACCATTAGAGTTCTCTACATGAAATAGCACCGATTATCATAAAAATCAGATCTAAGCTACAGTTAAATATTGCATTAAAGTAATTCCTTCAGAAAATTAACCGTTAAAACATTACCACAACACTCAGAAACAACTTTGTTCTGATGCAACCTTGATCATTTACTTAAAATTACATGCTTCTATTCCTTGCAAGTTCTAGCCAAAAACAATAACCGTTTGATCAGATACTAGTGGTGCTCAGTATATTAGTTCATAATGTTCACAGATTAGACCCGGACAGAATTCCTATTTTGCTTTTTACTTCGCATTAACACTTGGTGGCCCCTTTGTAGCAGGAAGGAGTTCAAATCCCCTCTCCTATCCAGCCTTCCTCTCATGGACCCCTCCCTGTTGCTCTCACCCCACTCACCTAAGCAGCTTGTTGTTCTCCTGGTCTGCATAGGTGGTGATGTTGATGGCGGTTTCATTCTGCTCCACAAATTTCAGGAACTCACTGGAGTCCAAGCGAGAGTCACCATTATCAAAATTCTAGAAAGGGGATGAAGTGATCTTTCAGGAACAGTTTGTAGAACCCAGTTCCAGCATTCCCCCGCTGGGCTGCACCCACCTCTGGTTTATCTTGTTCTGGACATGTTCCAACCAACTCTGCCCTGGCTTAGCCTCAGAGAGCTACAGCACCAAAGGCTCAGATCCCTGGGCACCCAGAGAAGGCGCCTGAGCCTCGAGATGAGAGAGTGAAAGTGCCTGGGCAGAGGCCACTGAGGGCCTTTCAAACCCAGACGCTGCCAGGGAGGGCAGCCTGAGTGTGGCCTGTGGAACCCAGAAAGCCTGGGGGGCTTCAGGAACTCTGCAGACAGCCTCGATGGCAGCCCTGAGTTCAGGCAGCCACTACACCACATCCTTAAACCCTAACGAACATGTGGTAACAATGCTGTGAGCCAGAATTTCCGTGGCAGAGCCCAGGAAGTGTATTTCTAACATGCTATTTGGGAACAATGACACAGGTGGCACTCAGAGCTCACAGGGCCATTTCTTAATGCTTGATTTCCAGCTTCCCTGGACTGCTCAGTGCTTAACTTTCTCACTGGTACCCTTCATCAGTGAGGAGTCAGACGCAAATGGCTTGCAGGCAGAGGTGGTGCAAAATCCCCCACCCTTGTCCTGTGTGGGGGCCCCACTGCAGCACAGGTCCTCAGCTGTCCAGGCTGTCCTCATGGCCCAGCTGACATCCCATGAGCACAGGGTGAGGGTGTATTGAGCTCAGGCATTGTCCCCACTTTGTCAAGATGCTAAACCAAGATCTTGTAGTCAGGCCCCAGCTGCAGGAGGGGGTTGTCAGTTTCAAGGCTTGGCTTAAATTCCAAGTTGGACACCTGTTTTCCTAAATAGTTCCAATGGAAAAAATTTTGTCTTTCAAAATGCTTCCCTTAGGTTGCCTCATACTGCTGCCCTGGGAGTAATCAGCACCCTCATGGTACCTTCAAGGTGGATTCCCAGATGGTGTAAGGAATTCTGGAAGAAAAGTCTGTCCAGGTTTCTAGGTGGAAGGTAAAGACACAGCTACCAACTGTCCTTCGATAACTGTCACAGTCGCATGTATTCCACTCTAAGGCTGTCAACCTCTCCGGGTATGTATGACAGCAGTGTATGAGACAACTATGACGGCCCTTGTTCAGTATCTGTTCATCATTCTTGTCCTAATTCCTAGGAAGAGGTCTCAGATGTTCTGTAGTCACCATACGTTCACCCGAGGAACCTTCCCTAAGTGTTCACCGTGTGAGGTCTTGATTAATGAACACAGAGAAATAAATAAGGTTGGCCAGGTGCCATTCTTAGCAGCATAGGACTTTCTTGGGTCCAAATGCTGCAAGTGCTGGACAGACCGGAGCAGCTTTTACAGACCCAACCCCATCAGGGCCTGAGTACAGACTGAGTGTGGGGAGAGGAACAGTCCCGCAATGGCTGTGGACCCAGAGGGCACTAGGGGCACCCGGAGCCTGGCACCTACAGCCCAGGCAGCTCTCAGAGGGCAGCGCTGAGTGCACTCCCTGCACATTCAGTGGGACCAGAGGCCAGGCCTGAAGCTGAGGGAGGGGCCAGCCTGCCTGCACTCATCTCATGAGGACCCATTTGGGCTACTCCAGGCCAGGTCTGTATGTGGCAGCCACAGGAAAACAGAGGTTTGAAACCAGCCTGGAATCCTGAAATCCCTAGGGGGCCTGCAGGGGGCCTGCAGGGGCGAGGGGGAGGTCGGGTCATGAACTTGGACTAAGAACCTACCTAATTCACTGTGTCTCTGTTACAAAGGCATAGTACCTCTTTACACCAGCATTTCCCAGAGCTACACTCGAGATAACTGCCCTTTTCTTCTATGTAACCATAGGGTTGAGGCAAGGCAGGAAAGTGTGCTCTGAGACCCACGTTTGGGCTCACTGCAAGTTTGGAGATTGTTGAACGGAGATGGGCTCGGCCAGGCACGCAGTCACGTACAGCAGCTGGGCGGATGGGAAATGTAATCCTGGGGCAAGGGAGATCAGAAGGCTGGATCCAGTTTCAGCCTGGCCACCAGAAGTCTGCCACCCAGAGCCCGGGTTGTGTGTGTGACATGGCCGTGAAAGCCTCTTTCTTTACCTCTTCTCACGCTTTCACCTAAGAAAGAGTGACTGAATCCCCAGTTGAGGTGAGGGCCTGATTTTGGTCTTCTCCGCATTCTGATCAGATTTGCTTTTTAACTAATTTTTCTATAAGGAACGCCAGCTGGGCTAAGGGCGATTCACTGGTGCAGAAACAGTCTCTGTGAGGTATCAGATCGCTTAGAAACAGGCAGCTGTTTGCCTAGTGGGCGGGAGTCTCCCTTTGAAGACGCCACATACTAGTACAGGTCTCAGATAATCATCAAAAAGCAGATGCTGAAGGACAGATAAAGAGCTTCCCAAGGGCTCCACAGTGTGGGAGAGGTTGAGAAAGAGGACACAGTGAGAAGGGCTGTGCTTTAACATCCAGGTGTGACCTCAAACACTTGGAATCCAGAGAGATATACTTGTTCTGCCATAGAAGAGAGAACTCGCCATCTAAAGACAATAACACAAGCAGACTCTTAAATGAGCAGAGATCCTATTTCAAGCCAACGCAGTATGTAGGGTCCAGAATGTCAGTTAGAAAGAGGAATCCATAGACTGGGCTGGTGCTGACCACATTCGGTGACTGCAGAGCTGGCAAGAAGTTCCTCATGTGTCTGGGGTTGCTCCTGAGTCCTGCCTGGTTAGGTTCTGGGACAGAAGGCCCTGAGGCACGTGAGGGCATGTATGTCTGGGGATGAGCATTCCAGGGCATCTGCCCAGAGATGTGTGTCTGCAAGTGAAGGGGTTTTTGTGCGCATGTGGGAATGTGGGTAACTGAGTGCGTGTGTCTGTGGGTAGGACGTGTCTCTGTGTGGTGTGTGCATCTCTGTAAGTGGGGTGTGTGTTGCTGTGCACACACGCGCTTGCTTTGGCATGTAGTTTGTTTATCTCTGAGAGGGACATACATTTATGTGCGTCTGTGTTCTCGTCCATCAGCTGGAAGAGAGCATCCTTAACTGCTTCTTCCAACAACTATTTCAAGCTCCCAGAAAGATCTCCTTGACATAGTGGCCTTGCTCATTGCTAAGTACTATTTCTACCCTCATTTCCCTTTTTGAAGTAGCATCTCTCCTGTTCCCAATGGGAATAATCTGTCTCTTTAGGAGAGTAGCAATCTCTAGGTTCATGAAGGATCCTGGACCCATGAAATGCCAATCCATCGACTCTTCTCAGGTGAGAGTTGCTCTGTGGGCCATGGGTAGTCAGTTAATGACTTAGAGAAATATCAAACTAGGTGGGAAAGAGGCTAAGGGGTCTGAGTGAGATCAGAAGGTATTTTTATATCGGCAAACAGTTCTATAAGGTGTCATATGGGACGGGGGCATGGAACCTGGCCATAGTTTTCATACATAAGCTTTATGACACCTTTGTGGCTTTAACTGCACACACAGAGCAACACATATGTGTTAGATCATAAAGACTGTACTGCTGGACGCCCTCTGATCAAGCTGGTCAGAAGGCAACTGTCGCTGCTGCATGGAATGATCTATGGTGAGGAAACACTCAAGGACTCTCTGCTGGTTTGCATTTCCACATGGCCTGGCCATGGGCGACCAGTCTTTGACCCCACCTTTGGATTACCTTGAAGTACTTGTCCAGGATTTCACTGTAGTTGCTGCCTTTAGAGAACCAGCCGTCTGGAATGATCTCTGCTTCCAGCCACTGGATGATGCGACGCCGGAGCTCATCGCGATTGGACTGATAGCAAACGACTGCAGGAAAGGGGGGAGGTCAACTGACGGTGAGGACCCCAGTGTCCCCCAGCACCCACCATGTGAGTGCGTCATCTCATTGCAGTCCCACAGCACTTAGGGAAACAGGATGACCACGCACATGCTACAGAGGAGTCAACCCAGGGCACATACTGGAAAGTGTCGAACCCAGGATTCAAGCTCGCATCTCTAAAAAATTTATGAAGATCAAGAGTATTGAAACAGAAAGACTACATTGCATAGGTGAGGGAGAAAAAAGTAAAGCAGCAAAATAAAGGTCATTTTCATTAACTTTAGGAAGCTGAGGGGGTGGGGGAAATCAATCAATCAACAGAACAGCTCTCTTGGCCCAAAGATAAGGTAAAATAATACACGAATAAAGGAGAGCATTGCATTTCTTTATGCCACTGGATTTCTGATTCTCTCTGTATAGTTTTTCCTTCTCTCACCAACTGGGTCTATCAAAACTTTCTTCCACCTAAATTGTACACTGCCTGCATTATACTTTATTATACACAACAGAAAATGAGGCCAATGACGGGCCACGTTGAAGCCAGGCTCTGGACAGCTGTGTAGGCCACATGGGAACAACAGGTGGGCTGAGAGTTGGGTGGATGGGGAAGCAGGGAAGGGAAAGACTCGGCAAAAGGGAATTCCTGGAAGATAATACATGTTAGGATGTGCAAGAGGCACTGAGCCAGTGAATGAAAATCTGGGCACCTCTCCCCACTGTGCCACTTTCTAGCTGTGGGATTCAGGGAAATTCACCTGGCCTCTCTGAGCCTCAATCTCCTCATCTACAAGGTAATTACAATAAAACCTTACCTCACAAGGTTATTGTGAGGATTTAAGGAAATGTATATGCTAAAGGGGTCTGCATTTATAAATGACGATGAAATTTTACTTTTTATTTGTAGGAAATCACAGAAGAAATCTTACTAGCATTACAGATTCCCCCCTTTCTTAAAAAGTTGTGCCTCTGATTCTGCTCGTCCCCCGACAACAGGATATCTTGTAGATCCCTGCAGGAAGGACTCCGTGACTTTCTCTCCTTTCAGTTCAATCCCAACTCAGCAAAAATGCAAAACACAGTCAGCATTCTGACCCAACCTGATGCTTCAAATGACAAACACACAAAAACATGCAGTTTTGCAGCTTTTCTGAGCTATGCTGAAGGGTCACAGCTGTGGGTCACAGGGCTGACACGGAGCTCTAGTGGTCTTCAGCAGGGATTGCAGAACACGAAGTTTCTATCATGAAGAGTATTTCCTCCCTAAGATACACAGTGCATGGATGGGCCTTGAGAACATTATGTTTCGTGAAATAAGTCAGTCAGAAAAAGCTAAGAACCGTATGATTTCACTCATCTGTGGGATATAAAACTGAAACTCCTGAACACAAACAACAGTGGGGTGGTTGCCAGAGGGAAGGTGCTCGGGGGTAAAGGAGGTCCCAAGAGATGGTGGCAGGAGAAGATCTGACTTTGGGTGGTGAGCACACAGTGCAATATACAGATCTTGTAACATAGAAACCCACACCTGAAACCTATATATGTCCATGCTGACCAATGTCACCCCAATAAATGTAATAACATTTTTTAAAAAAAGATGCACACTGTGGAAAAACAGGCACTCACCTGGGCTGGCAGATGGACCTACAGATTTCTTTTCTGAAAGACAAAAGAAGATGCATAATGCAAAGTCAAGAAAAAAGAAAATGTCTATGTATTACTAGGATTAAAATGGCCCCACAGTGAGTGGCCACCTGTAACCTTTTCATCGTTTTGTCTTAAGTCCTGTCTCCTTTCCTTCTTCCAAGACCCAAGTTTGGGGGGGGGGGGAAGGCGGTCGTTTCTTTCCTGCTTTGTTTGACATTTTGGGGCCACTGAGTTCCCTCCTGAGCTCACACCTTGTCCTGCTAGATTGAGGGGTGGGGAAGGTCACTGGGACTTTGAGATCTCATATGGAATCACTATGGAAACAGTGGGAAATGGCCTCTTGTTTCTTCAGGGAAGTTTGAGGCTGAGACAGGTTAGGCAGGGCAGCGGCTAGGCCGGGGGCGAATGTCTAATTAGCAACAAGCATGGGACCCCTTCCCTTTTAACCTTATGATAATGGTTTGAATGTAAAATAGAGGAAATATAATACTACCAGGGCTGAGAGGTACCCAAATTTTAAAAGCATGGGAAAAGTGAAATTTACCTGCTTTTTAAAAAGATACAGAATTCATTTAAACACTTCCTTATTATTATTGATTACTGATGTGGTTGCCTATCCACCATTCAGCTGCAGACAGAGCTGGAAGCCCCCTGAGGGTCTGATACAGGAAACCCTTGGCAGAAGCCTGGGCCATCCAGGAGGAACCCAGCAGGCTCATGGTGCCAAGAGGATATGCCTCCAAGAACCTGGGTGGTCTCCACGGCTTTGGGTGCTGTGGTCAGGGTGGAAAGGACTCCGGGTACCCCTGCCACACTGCTCTGCCTTCCTGGCCCCCCAGTGAGCAGTGAGGGCACTCCGTACCTTTGCAGTGTCCATCGTAGTCGACCTGGATTTTGGATCCAGTGAGGCAGGCATCTCGATGCAGCTCACAGTGGTTGAGGTAGGTCTTGCCGTTGCTGCCACACACAGGCCTCTTGTGAGGTTTGCATTGCTGAAACAGAGCTGGATGTTGGTGCCATCCAGGGTGCTGGCACACACACAGAGCAGGCACACACGAGCACACAGAACCATCTCCTGAGGACTCCCCACAAGCAGTGATGGCCTCAGCAGTGGGAGCCTCAGCCCTGGCATCTGTGACCGTACCCCACTTAGTGCTGGAGGCACCTTATCACCTTGCAGCCCCATATGGCTCTGTGTGCTGATCCTGGGTCAGGGTCCTCTGCTATTCAGTGAAGAGACAGACCCCCCTCCCTGCCATACCCCTCCCTGCCACACTCCTCCCTGACACACCCCTCCCTGCCATACCCCTCCCTGCCACACTCCTCCCTGCCACACTCCTCCCTGACACACTCCTCCCTGACACACTCTTCCCTGCCATACCCCTCCCTGACACACCCCTCCCTAACACACCCCTCCCTGACACACCTCTCCCTGCCATACCCCTCCCTGACACACCCCTACCTGACACACTCCTCCCTGCCATACCCCTTCCTGACACACCCCTCCCTGACACACCCCTCCCTAACACACCCCTCCCTGACACACCCCTCCCTGCCATATCCCTCCCTGACACAACCCTCCCTGACACACCCCTCCTTGACACACCTCTCCCTGCCATATCCCTCCCTGACACACCCCTCCCTGACATACTCCTCCCTGCCATACCCCTCCCTGACACACCCCTCCCTGACACACCCCTCCCTGACACACCCCTCCCTGACACACCCCTACCAAACGAACAGAAAGGGCATTTTATTAGAAGTCAGGAGTTTGGAATTTTCATCGCTTTGCCATTTTGTAGTAAGTTACTCAATGTCTCTGGCTGATCTAAGATCCCTTAAAAGTCAGCATTCTATGACACAAAACAGCCAGAGCTGAGGGCTGGAAATGTGGAGACTGAAAAGCAGGCAAACGCCGCACGCCTTCTACTCTTCTGGGGCGGACCCTGAAGGATCTTTGCTCTCTTGCTTTGCTTGTACTTTGGGGCCATTTTGTTTTCCTCCCAATCTTACAATGCCTGCTGTGAGGCTGGGGGTTGGGGTGCCTGGATCTTTGTGAAGTATTACAGAGAATCATTATGAAAGAGGAAGTGGACTAAAGTTCACTTGGCAACTCGGCCCTACTTTGGCTATTTAAAGTGCCATGGTCACAGGCAAGCTCAGTTTCTTAAGACTTTTGTGGTTTCTGAAAGGAGAGAGGGGGAAGCAAGTTCAGCTCGGACGTAATAAAGGCACCGAAGCAAGAAAGAGCAGATGCAGTGAAAGGAAACACAGGACACTGGAGCGGGAGGTAGCCCAAACTTTCCGATTTACAGACAAGAACACGAAAGCCAGAAAGACAAACTGCGCTTAACCAATACTCATGACTGAGTTCTTCTATGTGCTGGGCACGGGGCAAAGCCAAACACAGTCTCTGTCTTCATGGTATCCTGTGGCACTAGCTTGCTCAAAAATCACACAATTGTATGTGGCTGAGCTGAGACTAGACGCCAGGCTGCTGAACCCTAAGTCTGGGCGTAAGCCACCACACAGTGGCCAGCGCACCTCCAGTGAGGCCCTGCCAGGTCTCCAGCATATCTGTTTTCCTAATTTCTAAACTGGAGGACTTCTTTTCTGGAGCAATGGGTCAGGATCCTTCCTCTGGGGACTCAATTGGGTGTATTTATTTGCACAGAGACAGATGCACTTCAGGCGTGGGTTGATTTGACAGAAACGGGGGAAAGGGCACACATTCAGGGTATTTGTTTGCCTGAAGAGTGAGAACTGATCAGAATCCTGCTCATGAAAGAAGTATTTCTCGAAAGCTCACTTTGCTTTTTATGGTTCATTCAAAACCAAAGCAAACTTGAAAAACCTGCATTCTGTCTATTTTTTTTTAATTTGCATATCCGAGTGGAAATCAATCCTACAGAAATAAAGGCAGCAGCATGTAGAGCTATTTGCATAAGGGTGTTGTTGTTCAGTGGGACGTGTCCATCTATAGGGAAATGATTGCGTAAATCTGGTGCATTTATACCACTAAAGATCACGCATCTGTTAAAAAGTGAGTTACAACTATACATCCTGACCTGCAGGGCTTTCCATGATATATGCATGAGTACAAAACGCAAGCTGTGTATATACATATCTATAACTATATGTTATGATTCCATTTTTTGTATGAAATAGAAGGAATCTCTCTACATGTTTATAGTAGCAAAGGCAAAAAAGTGAAACAAATATATTCCAATCTGTTAACCTGGATTTTGGATTAACTCAGACTGGTTAACTCAGACTAATGGGATTTGAAGGTTATGTGGAAGATTAATTTTATGTTTGCATAAATACCTGTACTTATTTAACTTACATAAAGCAATTATTCATTTTGTAATTTAAAAATCTTATAAAGCTAAACTTTAAAAAAAAATCCCTGTATTCACATCTGATTTTTAACTCCTGGGTGAAAATTCCACTCTTTTCAGATAGACCAGGTGTGCTTTCATAAAGTTGATGACATTGTTGGCACTGCTGTGCCGACTGGCCGCTCCAACAAGGCAGCCCCACTAGCCTGGGCAGCTGTCCTCTGGCTCCTGACCTCAGGACTTACCTCAATGCAGAGGCAGGTGGGCTCTCCCTTCTCTGTGACTGCACATTCCCGGCCGGCTCCGCAAAACACATTGGCACAGATCTTGGATTTGCTCCTTAGTTCTTCCTAAAACACAAAATCATAAAAGAACACCATGTCACTGAAACGAGCTCATGATGGGATGAACCAATGGTGGTGATTATGGTTCAAGCCCAGGGCTTGGTCCGGAGTCACAGGTTGAAGGGTCCTGATTAGCTACAAGCTGTCCCCAGCAGCCAGCGCCAGCCTTGCCAGCACTGCTCCAGCCCAGGCCACCTACGAGTCTGTAAGATTGTTTCTTTAAGAACAAGAGCTCCTTTCTTGCATGCTCCCATTCTTCTAAGAACATTTATTGGTTAATATAATATTATCCATTATATGCCAACACTATACTAAGGAATGGAGATATAAAGGCAAAGTCCTTGACCTCAAGGTGCTCTGTGACTCTCTGAGGAAACACAAATCAAGAGATCTTTAGAAAGCGATATGGAAGCACCAGGGGGCTGGAGGAGAGATGGAGGGCAAGAACCAAATGAGACTCTGAGATAGGGGGCCTTCACTGATTTTCAAAGGATGAGAATAGACTAGGCAGAAATGGAAACTTTTTTAAGAAATATTTTTATTGATTTCAGAGAGAGGAAGGGAGAAGATATAGATAGAAACATCAATGATCTCCTACTGGGGATCGAGCTGGCAACCTGGGCATGTGCCCTTGACTAGAATCCAACCTGGGACCCTTCAGTCTGCAGGCCGACACCCTATCCATTGAGCCAAACCAGCTAGGGCAGAAATGGAAATACATGAGAGAAATATGGCTATCTGAAAGACAAAAATCTCACTGAGTAGTGTTCAAAGCAAAAGAAGAATAGCCAAGCTACTGAAACATGGATCTGCTGTTATTTTATTTGGTCTAATTCAGCCCCTGTCCACATCTGCCTCTGGCTTCAAGACCAAGAGGGCCAAACCATCTGATAAGCAGTAGATACAGTGATGGCAAACCTTTTGAGCTCGGCGTGTCAGCATTTTGAAAAACCCTAACTTAACTCTGGTGCCATGTCACATATAGAAATTTTTTGATATTTGCAACCATAGTAAAACAAAGACTTATATTTTTTATATTTATTTTATAAATTTAAATGCCATTTAACAAAGAAAAATCAACCAAAAAAAATGAGTTCGCGTGTCACCTCTGACACGCGTGTCATAGGTTCGCCATCACTGCAGTAGAACTAGCCTCAAAACACTTATGGTCAGATATTCCTGTGCAGACATAGGCACTAGAACTGAAAAGGCAGGGAATGGCTCCAACCTATGCCTCTGAAAATGTGGGTGTTTGTAGTTATTCATCTGTCAGTGACACACTTGTTCTCTCTGTTAATTGGTGACTAAAAGCCAGCCCCACCTCATTTGCCACTCAGGCCACCAGTAGTGGAGGTTGAATGAAGGAGAATGGGATTCCTCCAGCCACTCTTCCTGACTGGCTGCACAGGCAGTCTCACCACAGGCCTCCGGCCTGCCCACCAGGGTGGCATTGGCTGTGCTAAAACCAACAAAGATGGCAAGAGTTGTGATGGGGTCATGGGACTGGCCATAGTAAGGGTGGGGATGGAACCTGAGATTCTGCCCTTCGGGCCATGTCTACTGTGTCAAGCAGAGAACTCACACTCACAAACTCACTTCTTACAGTAAATTCTTATAGCTGGTGTTTTATATCCAAGAATAGGTCACAAAAAACAAAAAACAAAGTAGATATTGAGAGCTGAGGGGCTGTGTCCAATACAGCTGGTCTGCTGCCACCCGGAGGCTGCTTTGCAAACTTCAGGTTATTGTTTTCTCTCCTGAGCCAGCCTGCTTGTCATACAAGGCTCCCATTGGTCTAGAAACCCTCGCCATGTTCACACCTCATTGGTTCACGGGCTGTTGCCACACCCATTCTTTTTTGGATGTTGCTAAGGGGAATTCAATAAAGCTGGCAGGCAGGGAAGAAGAGGAAGTAATTCCCAGAAGGCTGGGAGGACTAGCTGTTGTTTGCTAAACCAGGAATAGCGATAAAATCAAACATATTCTCCAAGCAGAGCAGCCCTCTTGGAAACTGTGCCTGGGAATAGAAATCAGCTCTAAAAAAGAAGAGGAAAAGGCTATCGCTGAGCAGTGTAAAAAAAAAAATCTCAGATAAGACCCTATTTTCTCCTTTCCCTTTCAGGAAACAACCAGCTAACATATAATCGTGTGTGTGTGTGTGTGTGTGTGTGTGTGTGTGTGTGTGTCACACGAGGTACAGACACACAAATGCATAAAAAGCATGCTCAGACATATGCCTACACTTAAAGGCACACCAACACACAGCTCCATGGCAGACACCCACAACCGTTAGCACTTATTAGCTGTGTTGTAACTAGTCACTTTAATACTTTGAGCCTCAGTTTTTCCTCTCTATAATAGGGATCAAGACCAACCCTGCCCTGTGAAGATGAAATGAAATAACATATCTGGAAGTGCATCACAAACTGTAAAACAAATTGCCTATGAAAAGTGTTATTAATGTTAAAGCTTATAGAGTTTACTGCAGAATAATAGCCAGTGGCTTTATGGAGCCTCTTTTTTATCTTCTGTTGTTGCTTTTAGTGAGTACTAAAAAAAAAAAAAAAATCTTTACTTGAATAATACAATTAAAATTTACAAAGTGTTTACATACATAAGATTTCCTCTTACTTTGTGAACAGCCCTGCAAGAACATGTATGTTATTAACCCCATTTTATAGACGAGTAAACTAAAGATCAGAAAGGTCAAGTAACTTCCCCAAGGCCCCAAAGCGAAAAATGAAAGGAATTAGGATTCTAACCCACATCCACAGACAAGAGATGATTAAGCTCCCATTTATAAATATCTGGTACCCTGCTGTGAGATTTTTACTATACATTATCTTAGTTAAGCTCTGTAACAATGCCATCAGTTGGACACCATAATCACCCCCATTTTACAGATGAGGGTTCTGAGCCTTATAGGTTAAATAACCAGAAAGTGGAAGATTCTACCCAATCTAAAGGAAAAGTTCTTTTACATTTATTTTCATACCCAGAAGATTTAAGGTTAAGGAAATTATAATGAGGGTGTGATTTGCATAATTAGTAAATGTCAGGAGAAAGTGCCTAACACTGCGTCAGAGTTAGATTTGAATCCCTATGTTCCACCTCTGCTCCTCAGTTGCCCTGGTCACGCCTGTGCACAGTGATAACACTGATCCCTGTGAGGGCTGTGTGAGATTAAATGAGATGTAGCACATGTCGCAGAGAGCCTGCCACACAACTGAAAGTGGCCATCACGACAGTGCAAAACCGATGCTCAGGCAGTTTTCCCTCAGAGATGCTGTTACCACTTTGGGCTGTCACATCCCCACCCCTCCTCCCTCACACCGGAATGACAATCCTGAGAGCAGGTGGACCAACGAAATGGGAAAATCAAAGGGCCTACCAACCCTTGTGGCCCTGTTTGAAGACCACAGAGAAATGCAGGTGGTGCATCTGTCAATAGGTGGCAATCTCTCTCTTTGTCTCACAGAGCCAAGAACTGCAATGCAGAGTGCAGCCCTGGCTCCTGCAGTGCCTCCCAGCTCTTCCCTGCCAGATGTGGTGAGGAGGTGGGACACTGGGGTTCGTGCCCTGCAGGCACAGGCAGCAGGAACCAAGAACTGGGGAAAAAATGTCTTACCTGAAGCCCTCAGGGTCCTCCCCAATTCCTCCCATTCACAGGCATGCTTTCATGCAGAAATCAACAATGAAGACAAGCCCTTCCCAAGTTCCAGCTTCTCTGGGAGCAGGGGTGTCGAGAGCATTCCCAAAGCTTCTGGGAAGTTCCTTAGGGTGGTAGGTGGTTTTACCCACTTGCTGAGTGACTGATTCTAAGTGAGGGAGAACGCTTTAAGATGTTCATGGCAGGAACACGCTCATGGGAAGTGAGGAGCATGGCGAGGAAGAGAGAGAGGAGATAGGGCGGCAGGTCTAGCCAGCTGACCTGGTGGGAGTGAGGACCTTGGGAAGTTTGGAATGGGGCCAGAGATGTGATGATGTGGTGTTTGGAATACTGTGTCTGGTCCCATCCAACTTGGGAATTCTGACTCCACGTGTGGGACAGCCTGGATGGAGAGAGGCTGGAGGCAGGGGAACCTGCCAGGCATAAGGCAGAGATCTTGTGGGGGTGACAATGGACGAGGGCCCGATGCTCATATTCATTAGAGCACCTGCACCGAGTGAGGCTCCTTACAGATATCTCTGTCCTCACACGTCTATGTAGGTTTCTATATAACAGATGGGGAGGAAAGGAAGATTCAGAAAAGCTCTGTGATGTACAGAGACCATATGACTAGTGCGAGCTGAGTGAGGCTTAGAACACAGGTCAGCCTGACCCCAGAGCCTCGATATTCTTTTACCAAGAGCAGTCAAGGGAGTGAGCCTCGGAGAGAGGGTACAGCTCCAAGGGCAGGCACAGAGAGAGGTCACAGATATACACACCCGTCGGTCTGAATACACTTGTGAGAGTATAATTGATTGGGGAGAGGGGGTGGTTTCTGGAAGTGTAGACACCCTGATATATGAATAAAAATCAATAAATACTTGTTCCCAATGGAGAAACACCAGGTTTCTAGTTTTATCTGTCTGCATCATCTCCCTGACTGGCTCTATGTTGTTTGCAGTAAGTGTTGCAAGCCATGCCCTGGGAATTTGGTCCCTTGGTTAAGTTTCACAGTGCAGACTTCTCTTGGTAAAGGCTGGCAGGGAAGATTGATGACTTTTACAGGAAAAAACCTCCCCTCTGAGCAACTGTCAGCCACTGCATGGTAATAAATGATACTTTATATTTGTACCGTAATATTGATTAGTCTGTGATCTTGACTATCATTTTTTATTCTCAAACCTTCGAGGATAGGCAGGCAGGGGTTATCTCTACGGCCGTTCCAGATGTAACATCCTATGATGAAGAAGAAACCGAGACTCGTGGACGGCTATATGTGATTGGTCCAAGACCTCATGGGGCTCCACGTGAGGTCTCCCGACTTTAATCCAGCTCTTTCCACTACACCGCTTTGCTTTCTTTACAAATCAAAGCTAGACTGGATCCACGGTCTAAAAAAACAGTAATTATTTTTGCAACTAAAAAAGCAAGTTATTTGCAAACCACCACTAGAGGTGCTATTGTGTCTGAGTCTTTGGTCCCACCAGCAGTAAGTCTGAACATGAAATGCACTTTGAATGTTTAAAAAAGTCTTCTGAAGTAAAACAATTTCTGGAAGAACAATGTGTTTTGGTAAGGGAGGGAGCTTATAAGCAAAGGCATAAAACTACATCTTCATATACCATCAACTACGGACGTGAACTGGGTCAGCTCTGTGCCCTCCATCCTTTTCCTCCTTCCTAACTTTTCTTTTTGAAAAAAATGAAAACAGCCCTTACGTATGCCAAGGTGGAATTTTGGCTCCACTTGCCACTATTCTGTGACAGAGCGGCTTTGTTGACGTGAGAAAGGCTCTCCTTGCTTTGCCAGAATTAGTCATGGAAACTTCACAGAAACACCAGGGCTCCTCAGATTCGCACAGCATCATGGAGTTGGGGACAAAGGAACTCACAGAACTGGGGAGAGCAGGAGAGCGCGGTGGGGGTAGGGTGGGATGCTGGCTGCCCCCAGGAGGCCCTTCTGGAATGGAACCTACTAGCCCAGACCTGAGAAAGCCAAGGAGAAAGCAAAACCACTTTAGGACCTTACAGTCTACCTGGAGCACCATGGGACCTTGCTCGAGTTCTCTAATTCCTTTCCCCGAAAAGAAGGTGTTGGCACACGCTATGTATTCCAGGTAAAGAGGAAGGAGTGGTGATTTCTAGCAGATGTCCCGATGCACTTGGCAGCAGGCACTGCATTTGCAGGGTCTCGTCCCCCTATGTGTTCACAGCCCATCCCTCAATCTCGAGTTTATGCACCGGAGCCAGATCCAGGTTTTGTGGGGTCTGAAGCTTACAAAATTTAAGGGGCTCTCCTTAAGAAAAAGGATGCTTACCCTAGCCCTAGTTGGTTTGGCTCAGTGGATTGAGCATCTGTCTGTGGACTGAAGGGTCCCAGGTTTGATTCCCGGTCAGGCACATGCCCAGGTTGCAGGCTCAATGCCCATTAGGGGGCATACAGGAGGCAGTCAATCAATGATTCTCTCTCATCATTGATGTTTCTATCTCTCTCTCCCTCTCCCTTCCTCTCTGAAATCAATAAAAATATATTTAAAAAACAAAAACAAACAAAAAAAGCAAAATAATGCTTAACGATGACTGCAAAATTGGGCACAGGGCCGTGGATGGGCCTTGTAAGTAACAGGTCTGAAACTGAAGCTTAATTAGCTTTACGGTAAGTCGGACTGTCCACCTACCCTGCATTTTCTTCCTAAACGAGAAAGCTCTGCACTGGTAGTCTATTAGTCAGAGCCTTGTTTAATATTTTATGCACATATAGCTTATCTCAAGTAGACTAAGCGCTTGCACATTTTGGCTTCCCACAGACCCACCACATTGTCCTGCCTGAGAGAATGCTTAATGAACGTTCCTACACTAAATGTCATTTGGGGTCCATTCAGATCAGTGTCAGTGTCAGTGGCCAGTGACAATGGCATTTGGGATGTCTGGAGGAAGGGGTGGGCTTTATGACATCAAAATAAGGGATTCATTACCCCAGAGGATTCGCTTTAAGATAACAATATCTATTATGGACTTGTCACTCAAGAATGATCCAGTTCTCCTTTCTGTTGATGTCTGCCTCTATCACAGCTTATGGGATAACATGCTCCTCACCCTTTCTCTCATGTGATAATATATGGTGTGCCTGAAAATTACTATCAAATTTCAAATGGGACAAAGCTGCTTACCTTAACCACTGTCTTTATTATGTGACAGATTCTGTCACATTCTCTAAGTGTCTGCCTGAAGCACCTTGTCAGACTGAAGCACCTAAAGTACCACCTCCACAGAGAAGCCCTTTCTCTGCAACCCCTCTCTCCATAGACTAGGTCTTTCTTGAGGTGGCCCAGACCCAGCACAGCCACCTGGGTGCTTGGCTTCTCCATAGCGCTAAGTTCCGTTGACTGTAATGGTCTTGTCCAGTCCTAGCATAAGTACACAGCAGCATCTAGTAAGCACTTACAGAGTTAGAGTTACGCTAGGCACTTCATACAGGACTGAAAACCACCTCACAAGGGTCTAAGACAGCGGTTCTCAACCTGTGGGTCGCGACCCCTTTGGGGGTCGAACGACCCTTCCACAGGGGTCGCCTAAGACCATCGGAAAACACATATATAATTACATATTGTTTTTGTGATTAATCACTATGCTTTAATTATGTTCAATTTGTAACAATGAAAATACATCCTGCGTATCAGATGTTTACATTACGATTCATAACAGTAGCAAAATGACAGTTATGAAGTAGCAACGAAAATAATTTTATGGTTGGGGGTCACCACAACATGAGGGTCGCGGCATTAGGAAGGTTGAGAACCACTGGTCTAGGAGGTCAGAGGATGCATCCCTATTGGCAGGGAGAAGACTGTGGCTCTGGATCGCCTCCAGCACCTGAGGAGGGTGTTTCTGCTCTCGTGCCTTCAGGTCCTGGTCCTCAATGATGAGCTGGGGTGTCTCCCCAGGGAGTGCCATGCTGTTTCCTCAACTCAGGCACATCCAGTGACTCCACTCTTACTGAACGGTTCCCCAAGATCTCTCTATAGTCCTAAGAGTTATCTCTGGGAGTGCCCGAGATATTCCATTAGTCTTCCTAAAGAGTGCTTTTTGCAAGTCCCCCAGTTTCGCAAATTCACCCCCTAGCTTTTCCAGAACACCTGGTTGGTGGCGTGAAGGCGGGAAGGGGGGCGGGGGCTTTTAGGTCAGACCACTTTCTGCCCTGAATTAGCCTGTTAGGTCTGAGCATAGTATTCATTTTCCGTTCTCCAACTGTCTACCTAAGACTTGCCCACATGAAGGACAAAGTAGGGCTAGAGAGAGTCCTCCAGTCTTCAGGAAAGGACACGGCAGGTAATTTAACCCATCAGAAAGCATGTTTGTGATGAGTGCCTATAACAACAAAACAAGAATAATAGGTCTGTGACCAGCATGGTGCAAGCTCTATGGCATACACTCCAAAGGAGTGGTCTCGGCCTTGGCAAAAGTCTCTAA